GCAGTGAAAATCATTAATAGACAATCGTTTGATAGGCTGAATTGCACAAAACGCATGATCGCACCGTCTAGTCTGGTGCGTGTTGCTATTTACTTTGTAAAAGTATTAAACACAGCAGACACCACTTACTTGCTGATCCGTGAGCTCAGCTCCACGAAATGAAGGGAACGAAATTCATCACAGAGAATAATTATGATAATTCGTACCTTTTGAAGAAATTCAATCCGCAACTTCTCATTTATCGCTTCCAGGGTAGCATTTTTCGCAATCAATTCATCCATTTGCGTTGCTCTGTTGTTGATCTCATTGTCAGCAGTAGCTGTTGCACATCGTAAATTTGATATTTCCTCTTCCTGAAGATAGTGCAGTTAGTAAAGCTTCACATAACACTTTACACTTTTGCTGATCCGCACCTTTAATCTCCTATTATCAAATCTCTCCAAACTTCGCTCCATTTGGAGGTTAAAGAAAGTTGTAAGTAGCCCGTGTGACAATAAATGTTACTGGTAACTATTCGTTAACAAAGCCATCAATGCATTCCTGTTTTTCATACTAGGAATAGGAGCGAGGGGGGAGAGGGAAGAAGGGGACAGGGGAGGGGGCAACAGTTCATTGCCCAAACAATTAAATCAAACGCAGATGGATCAATTTTCTCACTGGTTTTAGCAAATCTCAACATTGTTTTTAAAAAAAAAGTACTACTTGCTATAACAGCAAACTTTTTATTCTTCCTATATTCCGATTATTATATTATAAATTCAATATATTAGGTGAAAAGACTCATAATTTTCGAAGAAAAAAACTTACCTTTTCAATTAATTGTTCCTTCAATTGCTTCACTTCAGAACAGCTCCTGTCATACGCTATGCGCATATCGTTCATTTCTGTTGTTAAATCTTCTTTACCTACATGGATATCATCCATTTTTTGTAACAAGCATTTCATTTCTTTTTCGTTTTCTTGCTCATTGTTTTCCAGTAACTGTATTTTAGCTAACAATGATGAATTTTCATCTTCAACCCTGAAACTGTTAATGAATGAGACTATGATATATTTTGACTGGTAAAAAAAACCTCTATAATTCACTTTTTTTTGAAATGGAATTGCTCGAAAGTAACCCAAACTGCAGAGCACTGAAATGCCACTGGGACCGTCAGGTGGTTCTTTTTTCGGAATTGCTGATGGCAATTTTTAATACCGCTGTGCAGGAAGAGCTAATTCGCTGATTCGTGGGCTAAAGGATCGTGAAAATAACGTGATTTTGGGGATTTATCCGACATTCCTCGTTCGGAACAATGGGAAAGGGTACATCGGCTCAACGGGCAATACATTTTCAGTGTCAGCAATTGCAGAAAGGATGGGAGCTCTATCGAAATGAAAGCGTGCAACGATGAAACAACAGCTGATCAAAGTACCAAAGACAGAAAGGAAAAATGTCTACAAAGAAACAAATTTACGTACGAAATCAGTCTATTCTGTAATTCGTTCAACACTTTTTCCTTCTCCAAAAGATCTGCTTTCAAAGTGGCCACCATATGCAACGAGTGCTCATTTTCTGTGTTCTGCTCGACCATTCGATTCTGCAAATATCGTGGCATAACTGTTCTGAAGATGGTTCGGTATTCACCTTAGCATCTAAAAAAATTAATGGGAGATACCGCAATTTATTACAAAATAGAATCGGCGTCAAATGAGACAGCACATCACCGATTATAGGCTAAAGAAAAATTTTCTCTTAAATTATTAAACTGCGTTTTTTAATTCTAGGCAACTTTCTTTTTTGCCCATGTATTTTTTCGAAGATGCAGAACCAGAACTGAAACCTACCTCGTCGTCTCTGGCATCCTGTAGCTGCCCACAGAGAACTTGCTTTTCTTCGTCAAGCTTCCTGATTTGATCTTGCTGGATCTGCACTAGTCCCTTCAACTCTTCGCATCTGGCAATTAACGATGCTACCTGTTCATCCAAGTCATCACTTGCTTTCTGTGCCTCTTCCTGAGCCTATAATTGTGATGAAATAATTGGATTTTCATTCAGACACAAAAAAAACACAAGCTAAGATGTGTATGTTTTTAATTCTCTAGCCTATTTCAATTTTTTCCCCTTTCGTACACCGATCTGCTGACTTCGGCCGGACCGACTTTTAATTTGTTTGTATTTTAATTTCTGAACCTCATTACGTCGGCCGGTGTTTGCATCCCTTCGGACGGGCTTTTCATAGTTTCCATTAATATGATCCTGGTAGAGCCTCCACGGCCCTACTGTTCTTTAACACAATATCGAAAATCCGCATTTTTTTTTCTGTTCAGTTATTTCACGTTTTTTCAGGATATCATTTAGCTAGATGTGTCTAAACATACATTATCATTGGACCTCAAATATTAACAATGCTCCCTTCCCAAGATATAAATCGGGCCTCTCATTTCTGTTATTTTCGAATCTATTGAACATTGATGTTCAACTGCTTACATTCCCACCCTTCTCTTACAGCTTTTTTAGCTCTAATGGCATTAATTTTTAACTTTTTTTATTTGTTATATAATAATTTATGCCAAAAATGCTGTACCGACGATGCCATGCGATGCAATAATAAGGCGACATGTCTTAACCTTGGTTAAGTTATTATTTTTTCTTGTATACTACAGAAATCAACGTCTAAAATTTTTAATAGAAAGTTATAATAAGGAATGAAAGAAAGAGGGAAAAGGAAAAAAGAAGGTAATAATGAAATGAAAATTAGAAAATTTGTGAGATTACCAATAATGGTAAGAAGTACATCTCACTATGGACCGAAACATTCACATTCAGATTTTAATCTTATTTTATTCACATTTTCCTTTTTTATTTCCTTACATCTTTCATAAACA